TTTGTAGATTCTGGAAACCAGCTCTTTGCTGGATAAGTGATTTGAAAACTTTTCGTTCCGGTCTATATTATTTTTTCATTCTCAACATTTTCACAGAGCAGTTTTTAATTTTGGTAAAGTCTGATTTTTTAGTATTATCTTTTATGGAATGTGTTTTCACCTAACTCTGAGTCATAAAGATATATCCTTCATTATAATTTAAAGGTTTTATGGCTTTACATTTTACTTTCATATCTATGACCCATTTTGAATTAATCTGAGTTAATGTAATTAGGTTGAGGTTTAGTTTTTTGCATGCAGATGACTAATCACCTTACACTGTTGAAAATTTTGTTTCTCTATCAAACATTCATCAAAAATCAAGTGACCACATTGGGTATATCTGTGAGGCTCTATTTCCATACTTTGTTTTTTTATTCCATTCATCTATTCTTCTACACCTTCTCTAATATCATTTATTATTATTATTATTTCATTTTTTGAGACAGGGTCTTATTGCGTAGTTCAGGCTGGCCTTGAACTCACTAGGTAGCCCAGGCTGGCCTCAAACTTGCAATCCTCCTGCCTCAGCTTCCTGAGAGATGGGATTACAGGCATGCGCCACTATGTCCAGCCTCCATATGCTGTAACTATATGGTGAGTTTGAACATATGAAGCATGAGTCTTCCAATTTTATTCTTTTTAAAATTATTTTTTATTTCTAGCTGCTTTTAATTTTAATATAAATTTTAGAATCCATTCATTCATATATGTAAATAATCCTGCTGAAATTTTGGTTAGAATCACACTGCTCTCTAGACTGCTCTGGGGAGAATTGGCAACCCAACTGTAATGAGTCTTCTAACTCAAAAGCATAGTCTGCTTATCTGCTTGTTAGATCTTTGTTTTCTTATATAAGTGTTTTATAATTTTTTTCATAGAAATTTTGCACATTTTTGTTACTTATGTGGAATATGGGTACTTCACTTTTTAGAGCATTATTATTTTCCAAAATTTAGCTTTCAAATTGTTAAATGCTAGTATATATACATGCCGTAGGTGTGTGTGTGTGCTAACCTTGTTTCCTGCAAACTTGTAAATCTCAAATATTACTTCCAAGAGTATTTTTTAAATTCTTTGAAATTCTCTATCAAGTGAACTATGATATAGGCAGTTTCATTTCACTCTTTTACCTATATGCTTTTATTTATTTTTCTTGATCAGTGCACTGGCTAGAATTTCCAATATAATATTGAATAGGTAAAATGAGAGTGCATCTTCTCTCCTTGTTCCCAAACTTAAGGAGCAAAGCAGTCAGTTTCTCAGCAAGGGCATCAGCTATAGCAAGTTTGTCATTGTTTTCGTAGGTGGCCTATGCCATATAGGGAAGAACGTTCTACTGTAGATCTGCTGAGGGTGTCATCTTGTGTGGATGTTAATATTTTTCAAATGTATTTTCTGTGTCTACTGATACATATATGTACCAGCTCCCATGATGACTGTATTCTTTATGTACTGCAGACATGTACTGAATTTTAAAAACCAATATGATCTCTTATTTATTCTTTTTTAGTCTATTACTAAGGTGATGTAATACTTATTTATAGCATACTACTACATATAATCAAAATACACAGGGAATGTTTGAATTGTTAAAAATTTATTACAGTAAAAGACACATGACCAGAATACTCCTCCTGCTCCATTACACTTCTCTCATCACTCCTGCCACTTTCTGAAGCAATCCTGGAAGTCCTCTTTTGTGTGTTTAGAAAGTATGGTAAAAGCTACTGAAGAATTTTGCTGCCAAGTGCCACCCAAGAGAAAGGCAGGCTGTAGAACCATCACAGTGTGTCCTCATCCACTCATTCACCAGATCTGACCTGGCACCTTAATCTTCCGGCTCTTCCCCAAAACCAGAATAACCATGAAAGGCAAATGTTTTGAATTGATTCAGGACATGGAGGCAGCCATGACAGCACAACTAAATATCTTCACAAAAGAGGACTTCCGGACCTGCTTAAGGAAGTAGCAAAAAGGATGGGATGACTATGTTTGAAGTGTGTGTTGAGGGGTAATGTTTTGAGGAATGTTATTGGCAGTGTTTTTCGCTGCAATAAACTTTTAAAACTTAAACATACCATTGATTTCCAAATACTGAGTTGGGCCTGAGTACTCAGTGGGCTATCATTTATTACTCTTTACTGGATAACTGGATTCAATTTGTGAATATTGTCTAGCGGATTTGGTGTCTGTGTTTGGGGGGATGTTGGCCTACACTTTTCTAGGTCACCTTTATTTAATGTAAATATTACTATGTTTACTTTTAGGACTACCATTTAGCAGTCCTCCATCTATTTCCTCTTTTCTACCTTCTTTTGTATGTGGGTTCTATCTTCTTTTGCATGTGGTTAAAAGCAAAAATAACATCATCCGATGGGGTTGGCAGTGTGTCTTTGGCATTTATACTCAGCTTGTAGCAAAAACTTTTATTTTTCACTCACCTGAGAATGTCTTTGTTTTAATTTCATATTTAAAGAATACTTTCACTGTCTGGTTTGACAGATTTTCTTTCAGCATTTTAAATTTTTTCCAGTATGTCAGGTCTCCAAGGATTTTGATGAGAAAACTGGTCATTCGTATGGAAACTCCTCTGTACAAAATATGCCTTTTTCCCTGGCACATTTCAAAGAATTAGTTCGTTGTTTCATTTTGAGTAATTTTGCTATGCTTTTGAGTATGGATTTCTTTCAGTTTATCCTGTTTGGAGTTTTCTTTGTTTCTTTCATTTGTAATTTTCATGTCTTTCACTAACTTTTGGAAGTTTTCAGCCATCTTTTCTGCAAATATTTTTCTGTATCATGACTCTTTTTCTTTTTCTTTTGGGATATATATTAGTTCCTAAGTAATCAACCAACCCAGTTAGATCCAAACTCCAAGGTCTGTGTGCCATCTGTTGATTCTGTGGCTTTGAAACCCATTTGGTTTCAAAGAACAGGCAGTGTGATTCGGATCCACCCTCACATTGTCATCCCATCACCAGCCTGGATGCTACATGTTGCTCTATCTCATTGCTCAGTTTTCAAAGCATTTAGGTCCAAGCATGAAAGAATCTGTTCTTATCTATGCTGAGGCAGCTCAGGGTGCATCCTGCATTCATATGCTATGTTAGGCATCACTTTTCTAGAGCTCCTCCGCTCTGCAATTTCCTCTACACTTTGTGGCTCCTGGAAGTCTCTTTCATCTCATCCTTCTTTGTCCTCGGGCTTGAAGTCCAGGAATTTTGTTTTCTAAATTTGCTGCACACTTTCTGCCACCATTGCTGCCTCTAGAGAGCCAAGCATCAATAAATAGAGAATACAAGGTGGGCCCCAGGCTCTCAAGACTTCAGTTTGTTTGATCATGAGGCAATGTTCTCCCCCTTCCGCCTTCCAGGTGCTGGAGACACTGGCCACCCAGGGTCACCAGCCACCCAGGGCTGAGGCAGGAGGGAAGGGAGCTGCAGGCAAAGCCAGACTTCCTTTACTCTTTCTGGCCCTAGAAGCTTCCTTCCCTGCTAGGCAGAGGAGGGAATAATGCAGGAAACTTGCAACCAAACTGGTTTACTTACGTATAATCTGCTCCAGCCTGCCCAATTGCCTATCTGCAGAGCCCTCTGCATGCTCCTTTGCACGTTCTGCCTTGGGTCTTGAGATACTTCAGGATGTGGGGCAGGGAGTCCTCATTCCACCTTATCTGTCCTGGAACCCTGGCTGTCTTTATCACTCCCAGGATACCCTGGTTACTCTTAAGGACAAATAAATCCCCTTGCTGGCACATTCCTGCTATCTCTGCTACCCAGACAGCTATTACTGAAAGCAGTATTTCCACCCTTTCCAAACCACCCCAGCTCATTAGGTTCTCATCATTGCTGCTGACAGATAAAAGGACTGTCAGCTTCAGGGAACTCCATCCAAACGTAGCAAATCAGAAAGCAAGAGGCATCAAGGTTCAGAAAGGCAAGCAGCTACAGACCCCACAGAGCAGTTTATGTGCCACTCCTCATGGTAAAGTTTCCTTGGTCTTCCTTTCTACCTTGGGATAATTCTGTGTATCCTGGATTACTAAACATTTGGAAACACTGTGTACAAATGTTCTTTGTAACAATATTTTATAATTCACATTCATCAAGCTTTTACTGTGTGCCAGGCATTGTTAAAAGTACTTTCTAGTATTAGATAATTTACCTTCCCTAAGAGCTCCCTATAGGGGCTGTTTTCACCAATGAGGAAATTTAGGTATTGAGAATTTAAGAACATCATGAGCAGTAGAACAGGACACCTCATCCAAGCATGCTGATCTGAATCTTCCACCACCCTCTGCATGCTACACCTTCCTTATGGTGGCACTCATAGGTGTCACAACACTCACTGCGTCAGAGGAGTTTGCAGTGTAAATTTCCAGTGTGAAGGAGTATGGGAGAAAGGGCGGAATTCCAAGAATGTTTGCCATGTTTAGCCCTGGATCCTCCATGCTAGGGACAAGGGTACAGGGCAGGCAAACCCCACACGCTGTTCCCAGTGCTACTCCTATTGCTCTACAGTTCTTGTAGCCACAGCCTGACCCATCCCTCCAGATCCAAAGGGTGAAGAGGGAATAATAAGTCCTTGATGCTACCTTACCCCTCAGACCTGGGCTTATGCAGCCCTTTCCTAGGACAGACACAGGACAACTCAAAAAATGCTACGTTTATGTGGGGCGTCTGAGAAGTGGCAGATATCCAAGAAACTGCCCCCACTATACACACTTCCCTGAAGTCAGAGGGTCATGTCCAAGCCCAGGACAATAGAAGGGTCCATAAGGAAGGAAGTGGCAAGCTAGAGAGGCATTAAGCATCCTCAGGCCAACCCAATACCTCCCAGTTAGCATCTGGGTAAACTGAGACCTGAGGGGCCACAAGTAGATTGAGGACTCCCTTGACGGATTGTGGTGATGCCCTGATTCCTCTATTTCTTTTGTGTCTCTCTTCCTACACTAATCAGGAGCACAGCACATGATCAAGGTGGGACAGACCCAGCACTTCAAGCCCTCTTCTAAGGAGATGTTTTTCTCTCTTCCTATCAGCAGTTTCATGTGACTATTTCCTCAAATTGATCACCATCCAATCAGAAAAATATTCTTCTGATATCTTTCTCCCTCACTAAAAGAACATGGCCAAGGGCGGAAAGGGCCCCAAGGGCAAGAAGATCACCCTCAATGTGGCCAAGAATTGCATTAAAATCACCTTCGATGGGAAAAAACGCCTGGACCTGAGCAAGATGGGAATCACCACCTTCCCCAAATGTATTCTGCGCCTCAGTGATGTGGATGAGCTGGACCTCAGCCGCAACCTGATCAGGAAGATCCCTGACTCCATCGCCAAGTTCCAGAACCTGCGGTGGCTGGACCTGCACAGCAACTACATTGACCGGCTGCCCATGTCCCTTGGCCAGATGACCACCCTGCTCTACCTCAATGTCAGCAACAACCGGCTGACCACCAGCGGGTTGCCCGTGGAGCTGAACCAGCTCAAGAACATCCGCACCATGAACCTCGGCCTGAACCATCTAGACAGGGTGCCCACCACACTGGGTGCCCTAAAGGAGCTGCATGAGGTAGGGCTCCATGACAACCTGCTCAACAACATCCCCAAGAGCATTGTCCAGCTCCCCAAGCTGAAGAAGCTCAACACAAAGCGAAACCCCTTTCCAAAGGTGGAGGAGGCAGACATCTTTGTGGACTCTATCAAAAGGCTGGAGAACCTCCATCTGGTGGAGGAGAAGGACCTGTGCGGGCCTTGCCTGAGAAGATGCCAACTGGCTCGGGAGAAGCTGAACCGAATTAAGAGCACAGTCACATCAACACCGAGAAAAGCCCTGTTTTCTACTTTGATCTCCCCTAACTCTATAGCCAAGGAGTCCCAGGAAGAGTGGAGGTGACCTGGGACCCTGATGGTGAGACAGGAAGGGATAGAAGGGAAGGCAGGGGCAGGGGACTGCAAGCAGAAAAGTGAGGATGCCCTGTTACAGCAACAGCCCTTCCATCCCAGCTCATAAAGCACCTTTCTCACCTCCTCTGTTTGTGACTGTGCTAACTGGAGGGCTTTGGGTTTCCATGCTACTCTGCATATTTCTCCCTGTTCTGTGTGCATACACCAACATAGACAGGTGAAGCAAGTCAGGAAAGGGCCACCCATCCATCCACTCATCTGCTGATCTACCCATCCATCCACCCACTCATCCATCCATCCATCTATCCACCTATCCATCCAGCTCACTTCTACCCATGAGTGCTCTCCAATCTACAACCCAGTGCCCAAGTGACAGTGTTGCCAACACTCTCTGGCATGTCAGGACCCACTGCTCACTCCAAAGTGTAGTTTGTTCCACAGTAACTTCTTGGATCTGGGCTCCAAGGTCAGCAATCCCAGAGCATGGGTTAGTAGGAAAGCAAACGGCACTGGTCACAGATAAAGCACCAAGTGCAGCCACAGAGATGAGCAGGTTTTAGGGATTGCAGGCAGTATCCTGTATTACCTTTTTCTCCCATCTGTACATATATAGTTTGCTCCAGGAGCTTTCTATCTATCTTGAACCTGCAGGCTCCCATGGACTGTGAATGAATGAGCTTATTGTGCCTGTGCCTTGGAGACCCTTGTGGGAAGAAAGGCAGGTGTGAGCGCAGGTATGGCTTAGTGCATTCAGCACACAAGTAGCTCACTAGCTCTGTGCTAGGTGCAGGACCCCCCACATTCAGTGGGACCAGGTTGGCCTGCCTTGGGCAAGCTGGAGGAGAGGCCATCTGAGAAAAGATGGACATAACATCATAGTCTGAGGAACTTAGGAGACCAGAGCCATGGTCTTCAGAACCATATTTAAAACATTTGCCAGACAACTTTTCTTATGGCTGTGTGTAACTACAAGTTATTGTTGGGCACATGAGTTGTGCATGACCAGCCTGGTACAGAGAAGGCCAGGGACTCTGGAATTGGGCAGATGTAGGACCTTGATGCCTCTGCTTCTCCTGCCATTGCTGAGGGGCACCTTGCTCAGCCTCATCTGTGAGAGGGGGAACTCATGCCCAACCCTAGGGCTGCTGTGAACTGAAACAGGCAGCACAGAGAGCATGCACACAGCATTCTTTCCCAAGGCTAGAGCTCCATGCCTCGCAAAGCTGAAACACTACTTGGGCAGGCCAAGAGCCACCCAGATCTTTGTGCAGAAATGAGGTAAAGATGATCCTCACAATAGTTGTGACCCTTTGGTGTACCACTTGCTGACAACTAAAAGCACTGAGAGAGTGGTACTGAGGAAGGCTTTTCTGGGGAAGGCATTGCCACAGTCATCCTCGAGGAGTCCAACAGGCACTCTCTGTTTGGAGGGTACACTTCTTTCTTCTTCACACTATGAACCACAGCAGAAGAATGCTTCATCGCTCCATCCCATTCTGCTGGTCTTCCTTTGTAATGCTCAGCTGTGACAATGCTGTCACACTTCCAAAATCCCAGAGGAGCTAGATTCAAAGTTCCCATTTTAGTTTCTTCCCTTTATTAAATGCCCTCCATTAGAAAAGTAACAAAACCACAGCCTAGCTTTCCATGTGGTTGCTAAAAGTGTGCACCCATCTGCAGTGTGAGCCAACTATAACCTTGGCAGGTTTCCTTAAGAGTTATTTTTCTGCTTATGTGTTTACACACAGTTAAAATTACAGCATTCACTCCAACTCTATCCTGATTTGAAACCCATCTGGGCAGATAGTCTTCACATCCATAATTTAAAGCGTCTGCAAGATAGTTATTCTTTTGGATATGCATATCTCTAAGTCACTTTGGGCATTTAGGTTGTTTCCAATTTTTCACTAATGGAAATAGTTTTGCGATGAGAGCTGGGATGACTAAAACATTTTTAAATGTTTTGGATCATTTCTTTGGCACAGCTGCCTCCATGGGGATATTGTGTTAAAGTCTACATTTGTTTCAAAAGTAATTTTTGACATATGCCATCCTGTAACTTATGGACATGTATGTCCACCAGTGATTTATGAGGGAGCCGGTTTTCCTGTGCCCTCATGGCACTGAGTGTTGTCCCTTTTATGTTCCTCCTCGCTGTGGGTCCAATTGGCTGGAGCCTTCTGAAGGCGAAGGGTGACCTTGACCGAAATGTGTGTGATTATGCCACACCCTCAGTTCAGGGAAGCCACTCCTATGCCGGGTCCTGGACCTGCCTGTGAGTGATCTGAGTGGCTCTCTCTGTCTCTTTCTCTCTCAGCCAAAAGTCCCAGTGTGCATGCGCTGACAGTGGCAGCAAGTTTCTGGGCAGAGTGGCAGTTATCTGGATGCTGTCAATTACTGTTGTTCTGCCTGGAAATGCTTTTGCTGGAGAATCGGGGTCCCCATTTTAGGTCCCAAAAAGATCAGTAAAGAGGAAGTGTTAAGCAAAGCATTGCAGCGGCAGACCCCACGGTCCCCAGGCTCCCCCACCTCTGCCTGTGTAGCACACTCCAGTGCTTCATGGGGTCTGGCCCTGGAATCCTTTCACGCTCATCACTGGGTCTCCAGAAGGGGTTTGGGTGTGTTGGGCTTCACCAGGCAGCGGGATTTGACTTCCCACTGAACGTGCTCAAGTGAGACACCATTTTAGCTAGGAAAAGCTGACACTGTAGGCGAGGGGTGCAGAGACGGGAAGTCCAGACCAGTAAGGAGGCATCTGTGTTATTTCCTTTCCTGTCAGGGCATGGCTTGGTGTTGACATTGCTTCATGCTCTAAACACCCTTACTTCCTGGAAATTGTAGGAAGCCTAAAAGTACTGGATAACAAAGCTATTTGGGAGTTCTCCTGCCTCCAGTAGAACAAAAACTCTACCCACACTGCCCCACTCTTCTCTGATTCTGAAGGCCAGCTGTACCCAGTGACCCTACATGACCCCAGGGGATCTGGATTTTGCCCTGTGGCCAGGAGCAACAGCTTCATCTTCTTGTGTCTCCATCCCCAGGTTGCGCTCGCCATCTTCCTAGAGTAGCTTATAGCAAAACACGGAGACTACTCAGCTGCCAGGAGCACAGCTCTGAAGAGGAGAACCCGGTTAGGAGAAGACAGAGGGCAGGGAGCATTCTGAAAGCCAGGCTCTCCATGCTGCCTATGCCTTAGGCTTGACTCACAGCTCACTGTTGACTCCTCGCTGTGGGCTCCCCGTGTATGAAAAGGAATCTAGAAAACATCTTATGTGTTTTTTTAAAGTGTATATAGGAGGGCACATTTAAGAAAATTATAGACATACATTAGCAACAATGGCAAACTTAAAAGAAGACATTCAGCCTTCAAAGGTTTGCAGTCTCTACATTTCACTCATGCTGGTGGGATCTCAACCTGACTAGAAGCCTGTGACAAGTTACATACATATAATGCTATGCTGCAAGCAGCTAATATTTGTATAAAACATCTACACAGAGAAACATACTACAGATAAAATGGAATTTTAACACAACCTTCAGTTATGCACAAGAAAGCAGAAAAAATAAAACAGATGAATAAAAAGGAAAGAAAACACTACAAAAAATAAAATGTCAGACTTACATCCTAACATTTCACTACTCGCATTTAATGTAGATGGTCAACTTTATCTGCAATGGCGCCAAAGTGGAAACAGCCAAATGCCCTTAAAGGAGCACATGGTTGAACAAACTCTGATATGTTCATCCCTTGAAATACTACCTGGTCACAAAAAAAGGACATGCTATTTTTACATGCAACACCTCCAATAGATCTCAGTGTTATCATTCTGGGTTTAAAACAGCCAATCTCCAAAGATCTCTGTGACTCTATTTATACAAGCATCCAGATGGCAAAGTGATAAAGATGGGAGGTGGATGAGTGGCTGCCAGGAGCTAAGGATGGTGGGGAGTCAAAAATACAGACATGATCAGAAAGGGCAACGAGAGACATGCTTACTTGCACAGTGGTAAAATAACTGTGTGCATTGTTGTGGTAGTGTTACAGGAATCTACATGTGTGATAAAGTGACCAAGATCCATGAAACATGTAGTGGTATAAGTGCCCTTGTTTTGAAACTGTACAGTAAACTGCATGCAACTATGGGGCAATCAGGTGAAGACTACAGGGAGCCACTCCACAACTGTACTATTTCTTGGGAATCTCTAGTGAATTCAAAATAAAATTTTAAAAATCAGTCTGACCTCCTGGCTGCAATACTAAACAGATCCATCTCTCTAGTGCTTTTTGTGAGTCACTCTGGCAAGTTTAGAGTGAGACTCGAGCACACACAGTCCACCCAGAGCCACAATTCTTCTACCACCCCAGAGACTTAATGAGGCAGGCTATTGGGAGGACAAATTCCTGGAAAGAGGGGGCCAAAAGGAAAGAGGAAAAAAGAGGCAGCCAGCTCTCCAGTAGCCACAGTGTGCCTATCCTGACAGCTGGGTCGAGCCAGGACAGACAAGAGACCACGGGCACTATAGTCTGGGCAAGTTGGGGATGAAGACGAGCTCTAGAGACTACACAGGGCACCCACCTCTAACAGAAAAGTCATGCCTAGGGACACATGCACTATATAATATCCAAATAACCAAGGGGACCCTGACTCCACTGCTAGTAATTATAAGCTCATTATCATTGGGTCCCCCGCTCTGTGGGCTTTGGGTAACATGACCACTCCTTAAAGGTCTCTATAGGAAAAACCTCCTCCTCCAATAGGAAAGAGAACACTTGTCCCTCATTAGAATGAACTGTGATGCCAGACCAAGGAGCAACTCCCTCCCTGTAGAAACCACATAGACGCTCTGGCCTCTGGCTTCTTCCAGGCTGCGAACTCTTCTCACTTGTCCACTCCCACCCTCCAGAGTGCATCCTGGATAATCTATTCTTTCACTTCTTCTGTGTATCCTGCTCAGTTCTTTGCTTGGGATATCAAGAACCACCACCTCTGACAATATTTCACCATCTCAAGAGAAGGAGCACCTCTCCCTCAGCCCACCAGACTAATAAAAAATTACTGACTGTTGATCTCATCCAGAGGGTGACTGAGAAAGCTGCTAACATCAAAAGAAATTGCAGGGCTCCTATGTCTATGTCCTGGCTTCCTGGAGGTGGCTGGGCACAGGCAGCACCTGGGGTGGGTGCCCTGACCCAGTGGATGCGTGGCCTTTCCACACCCCTCAGCTCTGGACATGGTATTGAAGAGTATGGAGGCTGGGGAGCACACGGTGGGTGGAGCTAGAAAGGAAATTGGGTATGCTGGCTATGGAGAGCAGGGTGGAGCCAGGCTCTTGCCTGCTTAGGGGTCCAAGGGTGTGGCTGAAGATACAGCTAGGAAAAGATATGAGCCATGTGCAGCAAAAAGACAAAAAGCAACCTAGGAAGGGCCAAATCCAGATCTGAGCATGACCTAGGCAGAATCACCATAGCCTGATGCCCATGCCCATTGCACCAACTGTGTGAAAAGCTCCTAAGTGCTGGGCACTACTGC